CTTAGTACTTTTCGCGAGGGACGGGTGATGAAATATACCCCTGATAACTATTATATCAATAGCACGGTAACTCACACCTCATAGACCTGATAACTAATGCACCCAGTCTTTGGTAAATTTGGTGACTGGGTGGGCGGAGGGTGGTTGATGAAATATGCCCTTGATAACTTTTTGTGTGAATAACATGATAACTCACACATCGTAGAGCTGGTAACTTATGTGACTCAGTCCTGATAACTTTGACGACTGTGGTGAGGAGTGGGGGAGGGTTGTTGATGAAATATACATCCGTTAACTTTTTTGTCAATATCATGGTAACTCACACATCATAGACCTGATAACTTAGGTATAAACAACGTGGTAACTTTATACCCGAATAAAAAGTTATCGGAACATACCCCAATCACTTATGTGCAAATAGCACAGTAATGCATGCATCCGGAGCTGATAACTTAGATATAAATACCACTGTAAGTTTGACCCAGGGGAAAGAAGTCGTTTAAAACACATCTCCGGCCACTTCTGTATAAATAACATGTTAATATACACATAACGTAACTGATAACTTTACAGTAACTTTTCACCAAAAAAGTGATCAAAACATGTCAACATGAGATCTAGTTTGAAGTTCTCATCGTGATGGATTTTTTTATGTGAAAACGTTTTTTCAATAAAAAACGACAGTTTGAGCAATAAAATATTTTACATCTTTGAAATAGCAAGAATTTACAATGACATCAGGTTTTCTGTGCTCCACTATTTTTGCATGTGGAGAGAATGTTGGAGGAGCCATTTTTATGCCCCGGTAATTTTCATGTAAACCTAATGGTAACTGGCGTACCACATAGGTGATAATTCATTTAGCCCAAGTCTGATAACTTTTCATCCGAAAAAAAGTCATCGAAACATCTCAACATGGGATCTAATTTTTGAAGTCTCGTCGCGACGAATCTTTTATGTGAAAACGATTTTTCAATCGGACCAATGGTTTGAGCTACAAAACATTTTAAAATTTTAA